TTGTGGTTACTTTTGTGTTTTTTTGTTTGGCAATATTAACTGACAATCTTGGTTGTGAACCCCAATATCACCATCTTAAAATTTTGGATTTTGCAGGATTACTCACACTACCACCACAAACATCGCATTAGAGCTGTCAATAAAAAACAAAACAACAACCCTGAAATGTTATTTTATGATTGTTTGGTGTTGTTCAATCAAATTAACTGATCACCTTGGCGATAAACATTCTTAAATATCATTACATAACTTCTTGTATGGCTATAGCTTTACCGTCACCATGCATAAACATATCACAGCTTCCACCACCCAATACTGAGATATTATTTATTTTCCTTTCTACTTCTTGGTAATTTTTTCCCGTTTTTTATTATTTTTGTGTTTGTTTTTGTTGTTGTTGCCTTTATATTTATTTTTTGAAATACTCGTTTTAAATGTTTGATAAAATTAGATGCAAATATTGTAGATATGTGCTGAAAATTCCACACTGTACCACTAGTACTGTTTCTGGAATAAAGCAAATTATTATTATTATTAAAACAATTCACTATATATATGCGATTGTCCAGCTTGAGAATGATATCGCCAGAAAGAGTAAGTTTTTGTTGAACTCTTTTTCTTTTTCATGACTCAATGGGAATTTTAATTCAATTTCCCAGAAGCAGTTTAAAGGGCTGTGTGTGTGTTTATCTTTGTTCACAAACTGTTCTGCTGTCGAATGCGCCAGCTACACTATGAACTTCATTAGCTATCATCACCCTGGCAAAATAAAGTGTGAAAGTATGCAAAAGCACTTTTAGAAGTCTCATAAGAAATTCGAAATTGTGAATAGACCAAGTGTTTCTACTCTTCAATTTCGTTTGTTGAATGGTGGCAAGTACCATCAGACAATAAAGATTGAAAGGCTTTCAGTATGTTCATCTAACTAAACGTGAGGAGAATTAGGCAGTCATGACGCTATTTTGCGGATAGGAAACTCAGTCAAACCCACCAGCGAAATTAAGTCGGAACAGTTATTATCAGGATTATTACTGTTATTATTTACATACAAGTTGTGGCTATAAGTGCACATGAAATTCAAATGAAATCATCCTGCATGATTAATTAATAAAAATGAAATTAAAAGATTGCAAAACTGAACGTACACGCCTAATCAACTTTCACTGAATATAAACAACAATAACAACAACAACAATTAGAAAATTAGGACTCCCAATATGCTGCGGGTGAAAGAAGGGTGGCAGACAGCCAATAGTAAACTGGCATTCACTGTCTAGAAGTTTTGCAAAACCTTATCAGATGAGAAAAGTGATATGTTGTGCAACACTGTAAGCAATCAAACTTTTGCTATTTATTCAATATTCAAGTTGAAATAAAAGTTTGTTCCGAGGCAGATTTTAGAATTCTGTGGATTCTTTTCTTTAGTAAGATATCAGTCTAGGGATTTTCGTAATTAGAAGTAATCTTCACGGTTAGAAAATAACACAACAAGCATAAAAGTATTTCCAACTTCTAGTTTTGAAATTTAGGCATTTATACTGTCTCATAAATTGCGAAAACATATTGACAGACGTGAATTGTATCGTCTAATGAGAAGTGCTTTGTTATGTTCCCCTTTACATGGATGTTTGACAAAAAATATAATGAAGTGACTGGCCACTTTATTTCGTTATTTCCAATATCAACAATGATATTCCCAATTGTGGTGGACTGGATTATGCGTCAGACAGACAATGGGAAACGAGAAGACAGGGATATCCTGGACCGACGGGAAGAACCTAGAAAACCCGGATTTCGTGCGTAGGTGATTTATGTTTGATGTCACACAAAATCGATGACTTACAAGCGAAAACCGACAAACTGGTAGAAGAAGCAGCAAAGACAGGACTGACTCCAGGTGAACATAGACAAGACGGAGGTTATGAAAATAACCAAACAACAGCAACATCCAGCGCCAATCACCATCAACGGGAGGGAGGGATTTGAAAGAGGTTACTTCATTCACTTATCCAGCTAGGGAGCATTGTCTCAACTACAGGAGGAGGAACGGACGAGGATGTCAAATCGAGAATCGGGAAGGCGACAAACACATTCATCAACCTGAAACCAATCTGGAAATCTTCGTCACTCAACTCAGCATCGACAACAAAATTCGGATTTTCAATACAAACGTCAAGTCAGTCAGTTCTTCTATACGGATGGATCAGAAACTTCGCCAGTGGGTCACAAAGAATATTTCCAACAGCCTGTTGCAGACCTTTATCAACAACAACTGTCTTCGCTCTATACTGAAGATCAGATGGCCGGAAAGAATCACCAACAAGAAACTATGGGAACAAACAAAACAAGAACCAATCGCCTAACAGATATGCAGGAGAAAGTGGAGATGGATTGGACACTCGTTGAGGAGACCACTGGGTGACATCGCGCTTCAGGCCATCGCTCGAGTGGAACCCGAAAGGGAAGCGACGAGTGGGACGTCCAAGAGTGACATGGAGGAGATCGTATGAAGAAGAGTTGAAACAGTATGGACTAACATGGATGCAGGTTGAAAGTACAGCAGAAGACAGAAGCAAGTGGAGACGTGCAGTTGAAGCCCTATGTTCCACTAGGATCCCAAGGGAACAATAATAATAATATCTGATGTTACTGTTGATTACTGGAGCTTCAGAACACCTTTTGTGACGTGTGATAGTGTTCGAATATGAAGCACTTCAAAATTCTCACTAGTTTAAGCATCCTACTCGGTGTCGGTGTAGCTAGAATACCCAGAGGTTAACATGGTATCAGTCTCTCTTGACTTTGTGAATATGTTTTAATGCTGACTAATTTTAACAGACTACTTTCGATGTGTATATTTATTAACAGGTGAACAGAAAATACCTGTGCGGTGTGTTCAGATATATCTTTGGCTACCCCCTCCGTAATGCACTTGGCATCTATTATTATTATTGTTCCCTTGGGTTCCTAGTGGAACATACGGCTTCAACTGCACAGCTCCACTTGCTTCTGTCTTCTGCTGTACTTTTCACCTGCATCCATGTTAATCCATACTGTTTCAGTTCCTCTTCACACGATCTCCTCCATGTCACTCTTCGACGTCCCACTCGTCGCTTCCCTTTCGGGTTCTACTCGAGCGATGGCCTGACGCGCGATGTCACCCAGCGGCCTCCTCAGTGAGTGTCCAATCCATCTCCACTTTCTCCTGCAAATTTGTTGGGCGACTGGTTCTTGTTTTGTTTGTTCTCATAGCTTCTTGTTTGTGATTGTTTCCGGCCATCTGATCTTCAGTATAAGGCGAAGACAGCTGTTGTTGATAAAGGTCTGCAACAGGCTGTTGGAAATATTCTTGGTGACCCGCCAAGGTTCTGATCCGTACAGAAGAACTGACTGACTTGACGTTTGTATTGAAAATCCGAATTTTGTTGTCGATGCTGAGTTGAGTGACGAAGATTTCCAGATTGGTTTCAGGTTGATGAATGTGTTTGTCGCCTTCCCGATTCTCGATTTGACATCCTCGTCCGTTCCTCCTCCTGTAGTTGAGACAATGCTCCCTAGCTGGATAAGTGAATGAAGTAACCTCTTTCAAATCCCTCCCTCCCGTTGATGGTGATTGGCGCTGGATGTTGCTGTTGTTTGGTTATTTTCATAACCTCCGTCTTGTCTATGTTCACCTGGAGTCAGTCCTGTCTTTGCTGCTTCTTCTACCAGTTTGTCGGTTTTCGCTTGTAAGTCTTCGATTTTCTGTGACATCAGATATAAGTCATCCGTGAAATCCAGATCTTCTAGGTTCTTCATGTCGGTCCAGGATATCCTTGTCTTCTAGTTTCCCACTGTCTGACGCATAATCTAGTCCACCACAATTAGGAATATCATTGGTGATAATAAGCACCCTTGTCTGACTCCTGTGTTTACTCCAAACGCCTCGCTGAGTTTTCCGTTGTGGATCACTTGACATGTGCCGTTGTCGTAAAGCTGTTGAATAAGCACTTGGTATCTAAGATGGTCATGATAATCTACTCCTCCATTCTCTTATGAAAATACTCATAATCTCATGTGGGCTGTAGTTACTTGCGTCCAAAATAAAATTCTACGATACGCTGAATGCTGCTCTTAAGAGTACTTTTTAAAAGCATTTTTAAATCTTCGCGTTTCACAGTCAAACTGATGGTAATACTGATTAGGATATGCAGTTGTTAAAAGTAGCACTATTAATTATCACTTAATTTCCTGGGTTTACATGAGATGAAAATAGAATAAGACTCTTTCAGCCTACTGCCTTAACACATTTTATCAGTTTGTTGTCCCAATGCCCACTTATTTCTTTAGTATCTTTCTGAGCTCATCTATTTCTTTTTCAAGTGCCAGTTTGCAAGGGTTTGATTAACTCCAGCTTCTATCACTAACTGATTTCTTTTAGAGAACCACTGAAAACCGGGGAGAAGTGGACAGCTATTTCGTCCTTGTTTGGGACTCTTTAACAGCACTCTCCCACTGCCTCATCAGGAATCCAGACAGGGCTTACGGGTTACAAGACGAGACTGTTGATCACTCAGTTACTAGGACGGAATCACACTAACTTATCTTATCCATCTCAAAACTGAATGTTGCATAGTTATGAAAGTGCATCGTTATTTTTCTTTTTATTATCTAAGTCAATCAGATCTATCCTGAATTCGACTTTTGTGAAAAACATTCGAATTCAGCAAGTGGACACAGACGTCACGTGATATACGATAAGCCTTAGTTCTTCTTACATTTCAATAAGACATTTAAGAAATTATTTGTTTAAATCATACGTTAATAGTATTAATAAGTTGTGCTTACCAAAGATTAATTCTAGTAAGCTGAGAAATCTCTGGGATGATTAAAACGTAAAAATAGCCCAATCTTGTATCCACCAATCAAAAGTGTTGTACAGGGAATATTTTTATTGGATAAACCAATCCAGTAGTCGGTATTTAAATGAATAAAAGCCCAGAATATTTTCTGTGAGAGAAGCAAAACACATGTAAAAGGTTGTAAGAAGTAATGCCTTGCATACTTTAATATTTCTTTTTCTTTCCAATATCTCTATTTCATACTTAAAATATAAAAAAATGCGTTCACAGATGAACACTGCGAATAAAGTGCCTGGTTTACAGTTGCACAGAGTTATACGATTAGGCGATAAGACTAATAATCAAGTCTTCACATTCATTGTACCCTCTCAACTGACAAAAGGATTTTTACAAAATGTTCAGTCAAAAGAATTTCACTATGGTGGTCATCGATGGTTTATTCGTATGGAGTATTATACAGAACCTAGTGAATGTGGTAGTGGAAAAGAAGATTCCCATTTTATACAGTATCGTAAACAACCTCTGGGTGTTTCTATCCATCTGTGTAGCATTTCAAGTGGAATGACATGCCGACTAAAAAGTGTCAAATTCACTATTCCACATCAGGAATGTTACATGCAAAATTTAATCCACGAATCAGAAGATGTACACTTCAGATGTTCCAGTGTTTCATACAAAGTATCCACATGGATTGAAAGTGGCCTACTGACAAATGAACATTACCTATTTGATGACTCGACATGCATATTAGAAGTGGAATTACAAGACGCTGTGACAACTTATGAGGAACTATTACGTGTGCCAAGAGATTCAAAGGAAGCAGTACGGTGTAGGTCACTTGAGTCAACAACATTTCCTTTCGCTGGAGATGACTGGAGTTTTATCGTTGATTGGAGTACTCCACAGGATAAGTCACGAGGGCATAATAATAAAGATGACAACAGGCCTAAATTCTACATTCAAAGGCATAGCTCCCCAAAACACTGGACACGATTAAAATATGAGCTAGCAGTGAGTTGGCATGACTATGGAACATCGCGTTTAGGACCATTTGATCAACTGATAAATCCTGAAAGTGGAGCCACAACAAAAGCTTATACCTTTGGAGATTCAAAATGGTTTTCTAATAGTTCTGCGCCTGTTATAACTTCAAAACACAGAATAAGTGTTAAAATTGACTTCCATTCTGTAGTTCATATCAGCCGAGTAGACCTCATACCAACATCACCTCAAGGTGGCAGAAACTGTGCACGAGTTGTAGATCCCAGTGGTGTAGACTGGATCATAATGAGTGATATTTTAGGCACATATGTACGTCTTAAGTTGTTTCTACCAAATGAATCTAATGCAAAACACAACGAGAATGACTCAAATATGGAAGTAAGATCAACTGCTTGGTCAGTACAACTGATACCTTATGAGTCATCATTGAATATTGTAAAGTCCATGAGTTCATTTTATGTTATTTACACACCAATAAATATCAGTGGGCAAATAACAACAGCAAACAGTACAAAATCACCCTGTCAAGAGGTCGTATTACCCTTAGATGTTGAAAAAGTGAGTCATATTGTTTACTTTGATGATTATTTATTAAAAAAATGTGCACTTGTTCATTTTCAATAAATTTTATTTAGTTATTTAGAGTTGGTCCTTTACATAAGATTTTATAATATCTTATTTAAGAAAAACAAAACCTTTTATAAATATTTAGATTTTACTTTAAGATAACGTCACAAAAAGGAAATTACCCTAATCTCCATTTAGACGATAAAATGGGTGGAATGGGAATTTTAGTACGCAGAGATTTGTATTTCCATTCACTTGGCAATGTGCCATGTCTACTGTACAAAGACCAATAACACTTTTAGTTAGGTAAGCCCAAACTCATTAGGTGGGGCAGGATTTGGACTCATCACTCAATCATCCATATCTTCACCAATGATGAGTAAACTGAATAAGAATAGACTAAACTGTTCGACCTCTTATTCTACCCAGGACAAAATTTCAACACACTTTGTTAAATGCCAAGTCAATAGCGGAACAATTGCTAAAAAAAACCTCAAGCACTGGAAATTAATTTTAAAAAAAGTATCGATTCAATAAATTAGAAGGCTTCTGTTAAATAATTAACTTTTTACAAGATTACGTATATTTGAAACAGTAAATAATAATTATGGATAGTTCATCTTATTATCCCCTGGAATAACCCTTCCACTCATTGAGTATATACATCAAGCGCGTATGCGTATGCATGATTGCTTTCCAGAGGGATTTATCTTTTTCTTTTATGTAAAGGAGAATTGACAGATGATTGGAATCCTGAACATGCAGATAGACAGATGTGAATGAGAATTGGAAAAGCAACTTACCGATAAACACGTAGAAAAAAAGAAGAAGGAAATATATTGCGTGAATATGCTCATTATAAAACGTAAATATCCCGGTGTCATTTGCTACAGATAAGATAAAGTAAGTTAAATCTCATTATATGTAGCAAAAAATAAAGTGATAAGGTCTCATTCGAATGTGACGTCCTTCAAGTGCTTTGTTAGAAATATTATGGACTGTCAAACTGTGGGAAGTTTTTGTCTCTTCACCAGCCTATGTTGCTTATTCACTTATCTTGAGTCAGAGAATTTAATTACGCCACTGACGTTGATAATAAATCTATCAAAATACAAAACTCACTAAAGTCTTCCACGATATTATGCATTTATTCTAAGGAATCAAAATAGGTATTCTTTAGATTTTTATGCTCAAATAATAAAGAAGACAAAGCAATATGTCCGACAGGGTGCTTCTACTAAACTCTAATCCTAAACATCATAATTTTGAAAATATGTCTAATCATAAAATTCTAGATACTAACAGTTTGAACAGACATGAAGGCGTGATGTTAGCTAATGCATAGGAAATTCTTATTAATAAATAAAAAATGGATATGTATCACTAATTATTAATACTTGGTCAAAATTCTCGACTGTCCAAATCTTCTTATGGAGACGTTAAGAAATGTTTTACAACTGTTTACCCACACACACATACACACTCTGTTTAAAGTGTTTAACAAAGGTAGACCAATATTTGTAAGTCCGAGATCAAATTTTGATCACAGCTCATAGAATTTTGTTTATTATACTTGTTGAATGACTCATGATTGGACAAATTTTTTAAAAACAAGTGATGTTCCTTTTATATGTAAACCTCTGTTATGTTAATTTCGATTAATTTCCCTGAAGATGTTCTGACCAGATTGCCGAACGAAACGTTGGAATTACTCATTTTAATCTCGCTGAGATTTTACAAATATAATTTTTACAAATACTGGTTATGCCTACGTGTTCGCGAAACACGCGTTTATGAGACACTAAACTGAACAAAAGCGAATTGACAGAAATTAGAATTCAGCGAACCATTGAGTCGGATCCCAGTGGCTGAATGGTCTACGATCTAGCCTTGTACCTTTCTTAAAAGTCCTCTATTCGAAGCTTGGTGGGTGCGTACCGCCGATGAGTCCCCAACTAGACTGACGGAACAGCTGCTTAATACACCCTATGCGTTTTCCAATGGTTCTCTAACTAATGAAACTTTATACAAATCAAATCTTCGCAGACAAACTCTTGAAAAACTTAACCATTATGTAAGCCTCGAGTGAAGAAGTTTTAACTTTTACTAAGTCATTGAATAGCAAACGTTCTATATGGTATAAAAATATCTCTCAGTCTATAATTTTGAAAAGGAAAATATGATAAAGGATGTTGATTTATTTTACTAGCATATACCATGAGACAGAGGCGAACAACCTTGCTACAAAGTGGAACACAACAAAGCTATTTTCCTTATAAATGAAAGAATAAATAAATAATAGTTCAAGTAACATTTTGAATGACTTATCATGATTCAAAATTTAACATTAACTGTGTTATCGAACCATTGAATATGTGTGTTTTAGTTCTACTGCCGGTCACAATGAATTTGAGCGAAAGGTTTTGATACTATGCAATACTGTGCATAATCTAAATAATTAGCGCCAAAGGAAAGACTTTTTAGAGATTTCTTTTTAAAAAGGAGAGAGATTTCTGGCATGCCCGGTAATGAGACTTAGAAGATTGGAAGCAAAATACAAAACTAACACTCTGAGAGAACTTGCCTAAATGCCAGTTACAATTTCAACCACTATCCTATGAAAATATCATAGGGAAACGAAAATAAGAAGAGTGGATTTGTTGAAAGACATCCTCTTCCTTCTCAAACAACCCTTAAGAAACACATAGAACAGACGCGTTGATGATTACATACTTTAAATAACTTAGATTAACATTGAATCCGCTAATTAGTTTAAAGAGATATACAAAAGTAGCTCTATGGTCGGTTACATTCAAAAACTTGTTTTTTATTCCGCTTTTCATTTAGATAAAGTGTGAATGTAACTGGAATTATATGTCAGGAATTAATTATTAAACTGAATATGTAAACCAAACAGATAACAATAGTAAAAATAACGTTTGCCAAAAAAATAAAAACTTCAAAGAAGTTTATCAGCGTAACCACATGGCAAATGTACATTTTGAAATAATTAATTAATAAGCAAAATTAATCTCACCCTATCATAGTGATAGTCACATCGACTTCTCTGTACACATGTTTCATTTTCATTTCCAAACATCATCATAAACTGGATGAAATTGATAATGATAGATGGATTTTGACAGCCGACATCAGTTGTGAAAAACTCCGTGTATTTATTAACAAGTCTTGTACAGTTACTATGAGTGTGATTATAATTTTTTGTGTTTCTTTTATTCTGTAAGGCACAAAATTAGAGATACGGTACAGATTGAAACCAAAAGACTTCCGACGTGGAAATCACATTAAAGTAGACACGTCTGTCACGGATGCTGCATCCTTTTATTGGCTAGTTTCACGATTAAGTGTTATTTTTTGCAAGGCTAAAAGCCGTAATGAAAAAAACCCAGTGTTAAACACCAAACTTTTAAAAATTCTTTTAGCACCAGTCTTGTAGAGAATTTCAGCATCTGCTTATGACATTTTCTTATTCACAGAACGACCGCGTATACATTACATAATGCAACACGATTTGGAGGTTATAAATAGTGAATTAAACCTTTCAGAAGTTCAAATATACATGTATCGCTTGAACTTTGATTATTTATCTCTGTAGGCAGTGAACTGTTGTAGAGATGTCAAATTCTAAAGTTTTCATTGCTTTGACCAAAACCCATTGAATGGCATACTGAGCTTGAGAATTTACGTATTCCGTGCAGTTCTGCTTCAGTGAATAAATCTTACATTAGACTGACACTTGTCTTTCATCTACCCAATTTGAAGAGCAGTCAACAGAATTTCATTGTACCCTGTAACTTGTGAAGCATCACCTTTATTATTATTCCCTTTGGTTCCGAGTAGAACATATGGTTTCAGTAGCACACCTCGATTTCGGTGTTTTTCACCTTAATGAGAACAAAACACGTAGATCAGCGAAGAGTCTCTTTTCGGAGAATTCATTTTCTTAGCTGTACAATCGCAAATATATATGTGTTATCCTGTATGTATGTGTACATTAAGTTTATCAAACAAAAATACAATTGGTTATAGTTATTTAAACTAAACAGGTGAAGATTGGTAATTGGAGTTACGTAATACAAAATCAGTGAAGAAAATTAGGTGTTAGTGAAATTAGGGTAGTAACAAAGGTGATGATTCGTCACAAACAGTTGTTAAAAGAAGTTATGTAATAATATGAATAGTTTGATGAGTGAGTTTTACTCAGGATGCACATAGGAACAAAGTAGATAATACGAAATTACGTAAGACTTCTAAATGAATACAAGAATTATAAACAATTAAAGAACAGGCAAAGAAACAATATTAAGGCATCAAAAAATCAAATCACATCAAAAAAGGTGTTGCCAAAACAGTAGAAGTGGTTGAGTAATCCTCTTTTGTATGCACAGCTCCGGTTTTTCTATGTGAGTGGCCAGAGCTTCAGAGATACAAAGAAGGCGAAACCGTATTGCCTTTGATAGGTTGTTCTTGACTCTGTAGATTACTTTGAAGGAGGCGTTTGTTGAAATGGAATGATCAGTGTTAACCAGATGTTCGATTATCGCACTCCTTATTGCACCACTATTGCCTTTTCACAACCATGCTGGATAGTGTTGTTGAATCCTCTTGGACAGGGTGCGCATCGAACGATCGATGTACCTGGCTCCACAGCAGCAGGTGAACTGATATATGCACATAGAGGTGGTCAGGTGCGGGATCTTGTCCTTGGGGCTTCTGTAGATCAGTGGGCGACTGGAGAACACTATTCTTAGCGTTGCTGCAAAGAATGTTCTTCTCAGAGATGATGTGATCCTTCTCCTTCACCTTACAAGATCTCTTCTACGTCATCCTCAGACGCCTAGCTCATTGTTTCCCATCCATGTTCAACTCCAGAGATGGCATGGTATGCAATTGTACTCAATGATCTCCTAAGAATGTGTCCAATTCATCTATTTCATTTCCTTCTGCAAGTTTCTCGTTATGAAAAGTTATTGGCGATGCTTAAGTAGAATTAAGTGGTAAAAGCCAAGTTAATTCAGTAGCATATGTTAATAAGT